TCCACTTTCTGTGCAAAGCTAAGAAATCAGTATTTGTTGATACCCCATCATATTCCGATGGTGTAGCGGCAGCAAATCTGCGGTGGAATAGTGTGTGTCGTAAGGTGCGGGCCTCATGGTCGTCCGCGCTGGAACGCTTGTATACACAAAACGTCAACTAAATTTAGCATTTGGGCGGATTTGCTGCTGTAAACTGACGGAATCTGCGCAATCTAGAAATTGCATGCATTCTTCGTGAATAGGACCTTGACTATCTTGGGCTGATGGGAAATTGATCCGTTCCACATAGTTGCAATGGGCGTTTCGAATTGTGCGCACCTGTCAGCATTTGTTATTGTAATATGCTAATTTCTGTCACATCGCCGCGCCCTCCGCTCCGCCGTATCGTGTTGTGTTACCTGTCGTGTGGTCGACCATAAAATCTTATGGTCAACCACACTGCAAAGTACTTAAAATGTAGTGGTGACACCTTAAAGTGCCGCCTGAATTACAATGGAAAGTAATTGATACGTTGACCACTTTTCAGTTGCCTAAATAAGCAGTGCTTTGCCATAGATTTTCCGTGTGTGTGTGCGAGCCTGGGAAATCGCGTACTATTGCTATCCGAATACGGTAATTGGATATGCTTGGGTGTGTGACCCACACTTCTTGCTTAACAGGCAAAAGCACAGACCGCCAATTAGCGTAGCGGCCATTTGCGATCACCGGCACGCACTGTTTCGGAACACCACGTGCCGGTGAGCACAATGGCAGCTTCGTCACAGTTTGCAGACCGCGATGGGGCGATTCGTCCAGTGGTTATCATTTAACATGCGACACCTCGAGCGATGACTCTGCATGGAAGATTGTTAAGTAATACAGCATGCATTTATGTGCTTTTCGCTATGTGCTTTCATCACCATCAACAGACAGTACTTCTGCACCATGGCGATCATTCCCACCTTTGATTGTATTCATTGCATTGTAGCCCATTCCACGGGCAACTTTACTAAATATGGAAATGGCGTGAACCAGCAGATCATATGCTGGCACGCACCTATCCATTTCTCTCCCTCACTGCCCAGCGAAGCTGCCGCTATTTCTTCTCTGTCAGTTAATCCACCGATGTCGAACATTGGCTCGTACTGCACCATTCTCAAGTTAGGAACTTCGCCGTGGCATGAGTGTCAACCAGCATTTCGATGTTGCCGAATTCGATTCAAAACACTCCCTTACACACTGAATATCTGCCAGTCACTAGCAAACGGTTTGGATCTTGCACCCCAGGTGCCTCAGAGCACTTCGCGCCGGCAAAGAATCAGTGTGCGTAAGCGACAGCCCTCCACACCACCGAGAATAGTTGAACGTTTGTTTGGTGGACAGTGCACATGCGACCCACGATCCACGCAAGTTGCCTGCATGTCTGGCCTGGATGCCACCTTGATTAGGGTGCCATCCAGGCCAGAAGCGTAGGAAATTGTGCATGACGTTAGCCACCAGATCTTGCAATAACCGGTCCAGAGGAATATCTTCAGAAGCTCAGACCCAACTCAAGTCGGCACTCTGGGCTCTGGAATCGCATGTGTCACGCCCAGCCGCGGGACACCATACCTCGGGCCACAGGACTCAGGCTGTTGCGCCTGCGAGCGTGTCGACGACGGGAAACGAAAGTTGCAAGGTTGTCTGGCGGCCAGCACCCTTCGCTTGGCTAACAGCCCCAGCCAGGGCGCTATCCCAGCGACTCTCCCACTATCGGCGCCGGGTTGCCCTCGACCGAATGGCGCGAAAGTTGTCCAGCACAAGTTGCCCGCCGGAGGGTGGTGGCCGTGTACAAGGGCGCCCGCCTTGACCCGGCCGATCCAGTCCGCACGCAGTCCCGAGTCCGAATGGCATTGAGCGCAACAACCGCAGCGAGCATCGCCGCGGCGCAACACGCTTTCCAGACAGCGGCGACCGCCGCGAGCACCGGAAATTACCAGGAGGACGCTGTTGACTTTGCTGCCCGCGCCGATCGCTCTTCCGAGGGACGATGCCAACGCCCAACAGAGGAACATCTTCATGGCGTCCATTGGCGACGACTTCCTTTGGCGATCAGGGGCGGCCCGCTGTGCGCACCGCGCCCTTGAGGGACACCCACAAGAGTGTCCAAGGGGGAACTGTGCCGGGGCACCCTGGGGGCAATGGCGCCAACAATGTCGTTGTAGAAGAGCTGTCCCGCCGCCTTCGCTGCTCTTCCCACGGGGCGCTGGCGACCCAAGCGGTCCGGATCGCCAGCTCGTCAGCGCGTGCGCATCGTATCCGCGCCGAAGGCCCAACGATCACCGGCGCGCTGCACAAGCCAGGGGCCAGCAGAGGGCGCCGTTTGGTTCATCGGTGGCCAGCTCAACGTTGGGGGGCTTCACTGGGGACAACCATCGGAAGCTGTGAGGAAGTCATTCGCGATCGCAGGTGCGCAGTCATTGCAACGACAGCGGCGCACTGTTGTGTTTCCTTCAACCCCGCCGGCCGTTCAATGTCCTAATTGAGGTCGCAAGTGTTAATGCTCGAGAAGTCGATGGGTTCCTCGCAACGCGCAAACGGGAGTGGGGAGGTCACGCCAATCTCCCACGCTCTCGCCCGTTGTGGCAAGAGCGGGTCTTTCTTACAAGACAGAACTCTTATAGTACATGCCAGAATCCAGAACCTCATTCGTTGGTTCGAGAACCGCCAGCATAGGTGGCAGCCCCCCATGTTCATAATGCTCCACCTTTTCCCTTCACGACTCCCCAATCCCACTGATTACTTCAACCGTAACACAAGACTGCTCAAATTGAGGCTGACGATTCGAAAATTTTCTGGATGTTTGTCACTGTCAGGCCCTACTTGGCCAATGTTTGTGCCATAACTCAATTGCTCGCATAGGCGCGAAGTTGCGCAAACATAATGTTTTGCAAACAGCACGCACACTACAGCATCATTTAGTTTCTGTGTTATAGCTTGCATTTGCGGTACGCAGTAACATAGGGGTATGAACCATACCCCCTGCCATTATGCGGAGTTGTAGTTCCCTATTGGGTATAATGCATGCCCCTTATACAAGCTTGTTGTGACGGAGTGTGAGGATAGCCCAACGATGTGCGAAGAAGTCTCCAGAGGCCACATGCGCCCGCACGATGCCGAGCGCTGCACGGTGTGGTTACGCTCAAAAAGAAAGACCTCCCGATGAATTCAATCGCAAAAGTGCCCCTGCGCGAATTTCTTGCACGCTCAATCAACACCAGCGGACACATCAGCGGCTTCGAGGGCATGAGGGGCCCATGTCTGAACTTCTGAATGCTGCAGAGCTTGCAAAGAATGATTGAACAAGAGCAATTACCGCAGCGTGGACATCACCAAGGGGATTGCTGTCATGAGGAAGCCCTAATGAGAACTTCAAGGTGGGGAATTGCAGCAGGAGGTGGAGGACTCCTCATTTTATTGGATGCCAGAGGGTCAAGCGGTGGTTTCCCCCATGTCGGCAGGCTTGTCTTGTGCTGGGGGACGCTCTGTTGTGGCGGACGGCGGAAGGTTAAATGCACTCGTGAGCACAGGTGTGCCCCATGCATGAATGCAGAATAGCGCATAAGTCATGCAGACAGCAGATACGCACACTCCGGTTTGAATGGGCCCCGGCTGATGCCATTGCCGTTTCCAGGTCTCAGCACACGAAAATTACTCAGTGCTGCACTGCGTTTTTGGAGTTCTGAATTCAGAGGAACAGATCGTTTGTGGAGGAGGCGTCGCCGCGATGCTTATCCGTCGTGTCCTGCAGCTCTGTTGCATGAAGTTTATTTTCCTTGTTCCGTAGATCGCGGTGGGCATATTTTTCTTGCTGAGTTCGAAATTGGGTTGTCTTGGACAAGGACATGGACGCAAACTGGCGTCTTGTAGCATGAGGTGCCGGCTGTCTGGCAATGAGCGACCAATTCGGATGTTGTCGTTGACATATTGGAATAGCTCATAACCTCCTCAGCCGATCGTTGCTGCACGATTGCTCCTAAGCATGTGTGGAACACCTTGGAGCAAAATAAGATTGGATACTGCACTTGCGCGACTACCTCAAGGCAACCACAGAACCAGGGCAGGTGGCGCTAGCCTTAGCAGTTGTGTGATGCCACGTGTGCTACGAAACCTGTGTTGATCATTGATGCAGGACCAATTTTGCAATCTTCAGACGGAGGGACACTGACTTCCCCACGGTTTTTCTAATGGCAGCGCTGCGCTTCTGCTGCCCAAGATCCCAATACGGAGCATGCAGTGATCGCCAACATCCAGCAGGAACCAAGCAAGCGCGTCGGTGTTCAGTCGAATGGTGCTAAGTGGAGTTAGGCAGATTGCGTCCTGCTGCCTTGCATTGTAGATCACAATACTCGGTTGGTTCTCGGCTATCACATGTGCTCATGCTGCTCCCCTCAGCGCATCCTTTGTGCACTATTCCATATTGGCAACTTTCTTGTTGCACTCGGCGGGTTTCGCACCATCTATACAATAGAATTCAAACGACAATGCACCATGCAATTTTCATGTGAAGAGGTGCCTGCTCCGTGACGTTTTCCGTTCTCTGATGAGAGGGCGTTCTTCATGTACATGAGCCAGCCTTCACCAGCAGGCCAGGGCCTCCCAGTACATTCCAAGTGAAAACACAACGCGCTCCAAACAAAATCGGAACAACAAACGTACATTGCGCCAGATGGCTACACGTTGGTCGTTATGACTTGTTCTTCCCCCCTGAAGGAAAGAGGTTCTCATCATTTGCTGCCGCCACTGCCGTGACATCGTTGGTGTCCCTGTTTGAGCTGGCGGCCAGTTACAAACAGAATCTGGGTCACTGAATGTGGGATTCAGCGGTCCACTCCCCGTGACAGGATGCAGGAGTTCGTAGCAACCACGTGGCCTTCTGAAAAACAGTTCGCCCCTGGGGTGACGCAATGCAAGTAATGCATGCGTTACCATGCGCATGGGACTGCGAGAGACTGCTGTGCAGGCTGCACTCAACATTTACATCATTTCGACAAAGAGGCTGTCATTCGCCCTGACGCCCAGCCATTGTTCAGAGGCTGCTGGAACACCACTGTCGTCTTGGAGCTCCTCTTAGACGCGGCCCTCCTTCGTTTGTCTTCGCGCAGCCACCTGCACCACAAAAGTACAACAGGCTCGAATCCGCGCACAGGCCCAACTGACCAATCGACACGGACAGCTGTGCAAAGGACAAGTACTAACCCACGCCACCACCAGTTCACAATCCCAAACAAACGTCATATAGAACCTCGCGACAAAGTTTGCCTTCCTCTGGGCAACAGCGTGCAGCGCAAGGGATCGCTTCTCTGCTTTTCAACTCCAGCAGGAACAAATCTGGCAGGATGGACTGATTGTCCTGTGCGCCTGCCCAAGTAATTTTCGCAGGATGCATCCATGTCCGCACTCCCACAGCCATGGAGGAGAAGTTGCATCGTCGGGGGCTTTCCCTGAACAGTTTTCCATTGACAACGCCCCTAGTCTGGGGATGGTGGCAACGGGCGTGGCATTTCTTCGAAGCAACAAGCAAAGCACCGCCAAGGAGCCGACGATCGACAGGACTCACTACGAATTCGGAGAGCTCCCCACACTGCAGTGCCACACTTTCTTACAGTCGTACACTTCCACATGAGATAAAACAAGGAACCACAAGGGATAAGTGCGCAGCCTGGGCAAAGGCATGCCTTGGCATGTCAATGTTCACACAAGGATTGCCCATGGGAACGATTGATCGCACCTGACAACAGTGTCAAGCAGCTTGCCGTCCCGTAGGTGAGGTACATTCTTCACCTCGTCAAACGTCTGAAACTTGCCATCTGCAAGGAATGCAACATGGGTTGGCCAAGATTGAAGGCCATCAAAAATGTGGGTCGCCTGCATGCACAGCACCGCCATTTGAATACCGCTGGCACCAACGTAAGTAAGTCACGTCCCATACTCCACCATGGCGGACACTTTGTAGGTTGTCTGTTGTACGTGGGCATTGAGTGGCAAATTCTCCAAAATCTTCAGTTTGGATGGACACTGCTGTGCCTCTCATTGCCTGCAAGGTGCGGGGGCCTCGTTGTGTCAAGTGATGTTTCGAAAATGCATACAAACGAATGGGCAACATAAAGAAGAAACTAAAGTAAACATGGACGTCAACATTCAACAATTTTGATGCCCTCGATGCCTTGGGCTATAGACATGTCTCTATATTCTACTTTCCCATTCCTCTGCTCGCCTTACGTTCCATTTATCTTCCAGAGACAGCATTAATATCTATTGTTCCCTTACTTGAACAAGAATCTCTGAGTGAGCGCAAAGAAATTTCCTAAACCTACAGCCTACGATGTGGAGCTTTCTTACACAAACATTGATGGGTACAAAACACTCTTCTTCATTTTCAGCAAGTACAAAAACACAATGGGCAACACAGGCTGGCATGAGCACAATTGCACATATTGCAATAAGGAGCATATAAGGCTTGTGATCAGCTGTCTTTTTCAATCACACTATCATCAATTTCAATCACAATCATCTTTTTCAATCACACTATCACAATCGGGCATGGCACTTTTGATTGGTGTTGTAGCACCTTTGACACATGTAGTGCTGGGCACTACATGAAGAACATCATTTCTGTCAGACAATATATCGTTGAACATCAGCCATACATGGCTGCAAAGGATCACACTTACATACACAATGGTTGCACCTCTTTCTTCACACTCTTCTGTTAAAAAGTCCATCAGATCTGCACGCCCCAGCACATCTAAATCTACTGTAATTTCATCCAGCAACAACACCTGCATTGCAGCAAGGCAGATAATCCGTTGTACAGTACCAATAAATGCAAAGATGCAAGCCAAAATGGCATTAGTCCATAAGAAAGTGAGCACAAGAGGCAAGGGAATTGACAGGCATCGGCAAATCGATGGGCCCATTAGCCAGCCCAACAGTATTTAATTATCTGTAATTCAGGAGAAACAAACTGCTGATGATGAACAGGGCAAGTGCACAGCACCAACATTGTCTGCAAACCATCAAAAGGCAAGCCATGAAACAAAGACAAGTCAATACATTGCAAGTGTGAGCTAAAAAGTGCGTTCAAGCAATTGTTGCATACATCTACCTCATATCTATGGACAGTGCATATCTCAACCACGCATGGATTTGAAGCATGAACTCCCACCTTGAATGGTTTAAGAAGGCCAACACAGAGCTGGACTCTTCTCCTTTGCCCATCTGACACAAGGTGCATTCGCCAATCGCTATTGATGTCCATAACTTTCATTACTCTCTCCCGCCTTTTGGGGTCGACTCCGGGAATGCCTTCAATAATTTGTCCAGCTGGAAAATCGCCCTGGCACATGATCGCCAAAAACAGAGCAAATTAGGTCCCATATGCCAGCAACACCATTCCAACCAATTTTTTGATGCGCTCAACGACTGACAAACTCCCTTTGAAACTGGTACATCCCTGGTATCTGAACTGTTGGTCTAATCTCATATATGCAACATCTGTTCCTGTGGTTTATTCCGCCTGAACCCAAACAGAACATGTCGCCTCTGCCTGCAAACCCTTGTGCATCAAAACGAAAAAGAAAAGTACGGTAAACGCCAACGCTATTGGCGCGAATGAGACAGTCACAGGTTCCGGCGTCTCCCGTTTGCACACAGGTCGTTTTCCATCCCAGATAATCATGACAGATTTCTTGGCTTTCCTCCGTTCACAATCGGCGTTCACCTGAAGCGGCACGCTGTAGCCCGCAAACGCGATGTCCCTGACCCACGCGCCGCCGATGTACGACAATAGACCGCTGCTGGTCAGAGCCGTGTCGTGGAAGGGCGAGGAGCCCAGCACCCAGACGCAGTCCCTCGGCACGAGGTGCTTCCCGCCCAAGATTTTCAAGAGCGTCGTCTTGCCGGCGCCGTTGGGGCCCACCAGCAGGCACCGGCTGCCGGGCCTCAGGGAGAAACTTACGTCCCGGAATATCGGAGGGCTGTTCAGCAACGGTTGCCCATCTGCCGCCACACCACGACAAGAATTCGGGTCAGAGGGATGTCGGCAACATCCGCGCTTTTTCGAGACCGCCCGCGAGGAAACTCGAGGGATTTCTTTTTTTCACCCACTTGTGGAGGCACTTTGCGCGCCGTGCTTGCATTCGAGACCAGCTCGTGCTAGCCAGGACGCATGTGCCAAACACTCAGACGGCAGAGACTCCATTGGGCGCTGGCGCCCGTTGCCGGGCACCCACTACCTCCATCGCGATGTCTCACTTCAACCTTATTGTCATTCTTCATACTCAAACCAGGGGAGCGCCACCACGCACAGCCTTTTTGGCCGTTCACAGCCCCGCCGCTCGCGGCTGGACTTATCCTGGCTTACCTATTCCAGAATACGTGAACGAGAGGTTGTTGACGACCACGGCGGGATCATCCTGGCCAGGCGCAGCAACGCCTTCGACAGTGGAGCCGCTGCCCGCGTCGCCTGCACTTCGTCTGTCGGGGGCCGACGGTTCCATGCAAGCCGCCGCACCGGGAAGGACTCCGCAGCGTCCACCTCGTGTGCGCTCTGACATTTGGACAAGCTGGCGGGGAGTCGTCGCTTACGGAATCACCACACATTCTTGTGGCCGACTTTGGGTGGCGGTGGCCTTGCTCTTGGATGGCATACCATTACTGGCTGCACCAAATCGGTGACTTTCTGCACTAAATCGGTGACTGCTTGCACCAACTGCCTCCAAAACTTACCTAACCTAAAGCTTGGACCCTCAAACCTAAACCCAAACCTGCCCTAACTCTAACCCTAACCTAAAACGCACCCTGAAACTAAACCTAACCCTAAAACTGAGGCTAGGACACAGTGTGCACGTGACTTGGTGCAAGCAGTCACCGATTTGGTGCAGGCAGTAATATTAATTTCTCTTGGACGAATGCCGGCCCAAAACTGTTCCAGTAGGTTTCCGACTGGCGATTGGTACTTCAAGGCTGAGCTTTTATATCACATTCATGAAGTTTGGAAACAAATGTTTTCCTGCGAGAAGAAACACGTCAGAAAACAGTTTTATCTGGACAAAACGAAATTTGACATTGGCATATCATTCGGGTGAACAGAGAATCGAAATATGAAGTTTTCAAGCCTCTGGTGCCCCGTGATGAGCTTGTTGCTCCGCATAGCCATAAGGCTTCAATCCCACTTCTTCACTTTGTACTTTAATGCGCTTTAGTAGGAGGCCGACCCAGCACAAGACGACCACAAGGGAAAGCTTACACCGTCAACATGAACTGTCCAAAGCCCTGCGCGGGAGGTCGGACGGCTTGTGGGCCTCAAGGATCCCTTTGGCCCCAGTACATAGCAACTGGCTCACCCACCGCCGCCGAATTCCTGGGCAACCCGCGCGCCCGCACGCTCGACCGAAATCGCGTTCGGCTGGCGTCCGGGAGGCGCACGACCGCACATCAGCATGAACTACAAGTTTTCGAACCTCCTGGGTGCCCCGTACAGAGGCGGGAACGTCCTTCTCAGCGGCAATGAGCTCCTCTCCCCCGTTGGTAACCGCATCTCTGTCGTGGACCTCGCGGAGTCCACCAGCAGGACGCTGCCTTTCGAGAACGGCCATCAAATCCGCGTCCTATGCCTCAGCCCCTGCGGCGGCCTGCTGCTGTCCATCGACGAGGAGGGCCGGTGCATCGTGATCAACAAGCGCCGGAGGGCGCTGCTGCACCACGTCTCCTTCAAGGGGCCCGTCGCGGCGGCGAAGTTCAGCCCCGATGGGAGATATGTGGCGGTGGCGGTGGGACGGATGCTGCAGGTGGGTGTGCTTGAAACGAACCTGTAGGAAAATCGTTATGGGGATGGGAGAGTGAGAGAGAACCTGACAGCTGTGGGGCAGGGAGGAAGCCCCAAAACGGACTGAGCAGCCCGATCAGGCTGTGACGTCGGTTGTGGAGTTGCACGCCAAGAGTGCCAATTGCCAATTCTTCGCCTCTTGCGGATTGTGACCTGTGAATGACCGGTGAATTTTTGACTGAATGGTAGTTGAAAACGATGAAACAGACCATTGTCTCGCTGTTCCACGGGACGACCAGTCCTCGTCACTACTTGCAGCACAACAATGCCACATAATGTCAACGTGAGCTGCCCATTGCACAAGCCAATGGTTGCAGACCAAAGCAATGTGTTGGCATTTGTGCCTGGGAGATCATCAGCAAGAATTTTTGCATTTTGCCCTGGAATCTTTGAGGACTGTATGGCCCGTCAGTTGGTTCGATTGACTGCAGTGCACTTTCTTCTGTGCACTGCTGCTGCAAGCAAAACTTTGAGCACATTCTAAACTTGAGGAATGCTGATATTCCTGTGCCAAGGAATATTGTTTTTTTCCCTAAAAGTTCACCTCTCAGTTACCTCACTACAACGCATTGATTGCCTAGATGTACCCTTGGCATATCGTCCGTCCTCTTGTCAGAATTCCTTGTCAGAATTCATTTCCAAGGGGATCAGTGTTCGTGCTTCGATGCTGTCACAAAGCAGACTTGTGATACGGCGCTTCTTGCACATGAAGGTGTGGAAACGACCATGTCTGGACAAGGTTGTTGCTCCTATGGAGCTACACAGGAAGTTTGGCGGCTGCTATGCAGACATCACGGCCTTGGACTGGACGGACGACTCCTTTGGGATCGTCGTGGGTTCGAAGGACCTCACAGTCCGGGTCCATACAGTGGACAATGTGCAAGGTTACAGGCCGCCCATCTTGTCAGGCCATCTAGAAGCCCTTGTCAGTGCTTGCTTTGTTTCAGAGTCGATGAAAATGAAGAGCATGTTGGCAATGGAGGGAGGAGAACAGGGTTTGTATCCTGAGGCCCCTGTCTCATTGATTACTGTGGGACGTGATGGCTATGTGTTTGAATGGGTTTACAACAAAGGGAAGCAGGTGGGATCATTACCTGGAGCCATTGCAGAAAAAGGAAAGGAAGAAGAAGGCAGCAGCGAAACGGCACATAGTGACAGAAGTGTTGGCAGTGGAGGAAATAGAGGGCACCACGATCTTCCGGATGGTGCACGCCAGCTGGTGGAAGGTGGACAGCAAAGCATGGACTCTCCTTGTTCAAGCCCTGATATCGCCCCCATAGGCCAGGGAGAACTACCATCAGTGAGAAAACGAAAGGCTCATGAACTTGTTGCAGACAACAGGGACAGTGACAGTGAAGCAGACAATGCCGATCATTTCTCAGACATGCAGGTCGTGGTTGCTGGGAGAAGTGGAGTTCTGAAGAGACGCACAGTTAAAGATTGGCAGTATGCGGGGGGCAGATGGAAGAATGCAAGGAGGTATTCGTGTGAAAGGCGCCCTGCCAAGGTGACCTGTGCAGACTACCACAAAGAGCTGGGTCTGTTGGTAGTGGCATTCTCGAATGGGATGTTTGAATTGATCCAGATGCCAGGGTTTGAAAAGCTACAGACTTTGAGTGTCTCGCGTGAAAGACTGACTTCAGTGTGCTTCGGTCCAAGGGGGGAATGGCTGGCTGTGGGGTCGTCCAAGTTGGGCCAGTTGTTGGTTTGGGAGTGGCGGTCGGAGACATACAAGCTGAAGCAACAGGGCCACTGTTCTGACATATCCACTTGCTGCTTCTCGCCTGATGGAAACACTGTAGTCACAGGCTCAGAGGACTGCAAGGTGAAGGTGTTCAGTGTAGCCAGTGGATTTTGCTTTGTGACATTC